GAACTTATGTGGGATCGGGCGAGGGTTTCCCCTGATGTGGAACCTAAGTATTTCATGGTGACTACTCTCTAGAGGAGCAGAAACCCTAAGCTGTTCCACATCCTGCTGCAGAACTAGGTCCAATATGCTAGGCATTTGCCTCTCTAGCCATCTAGTGGGTTGATTGACGTGTTGCACCAGGGTTAGCACTGTCATCAAGTCCACAATTTTTCTACTAAAACCAAAGCGAGGGGACCACAGGCTTTCCCGGTCTACCTCCGGAGAGTTGAAGTCACCCATGATGACCAAAAGCTCCGCATGGTTGCTTACCCCAGCCAGATAGTTGCGCAGTTGGCCATTCTCCTCCTCATCTGAGAGTAGTGCTCTGTAGGCACCTACTACCGTCACAATGCAGTTCGGGGATTGTATAGTGAATGAGCACGCCTGGATATTCGGCGTGGTCATGTGATCGCCCTCGGTCTGATCTAGGGCGTCCGAAACAAGAAGCGGTATGCCACCTTCACCCCTACCACCTTTCCTGTCCGACCTGTACGCACAGTACCCGGTGAGTTACAGACTGTCCGTTGTGATGGCCTCGTGTAACCATGTCTCGGCAATCACAATACAGTCTGATCCTACGGTTACAGCCTTTAATTCTCTCCACTTGTTGCCTAGGCAGCAGGCATCCGTGTAGAATGCTGATAAACCCCCAGCCCAAGCCCCCCTTCCAGCCTTGGTGTCACCAGAGTCTAGCGTGCACTCGGACAAACTGCCCGACAGCCCTCTTCGTTTTTCGTCGCCGGAACACTTTTGGCCTTCAGTCGCTGAGGCGCCGCAGAGGGAATGACGTCAACACTGGCCCTTCTAGCCACCGTATCCCACAATTCCTTACCAGTCTCCAACTGAGTAAGCACATCATTCGGCCTGTCCTTACGATTAGCTGTGACCACTGTCATCTGTCCTACTAGTGTGGGCTCAGGGCTTTCATCGTTACGTCTGTGTTATGTAGGAGAGTGTTGGTGTAGTTGAGCCGGACCTGGGATTGGATGTGGTACGTTGAGCAGCGCTTGCTGGTGACTGATGCTGCAATCTACTGAGCTCTATCCTCGGTGAGTTACCCCGGGAGTCGCCGTATGTCGTGTGAGTTGGTGATGCCTGTCGGCGAACGGCTGCATACAAAGATGCGTTATTCGGTTCGACGTCTATCTTCCCATTCTTTAAACTCTTAAACATACCCGCCGTCGCCAGGAATGCATCCCAGAATCTCTGGTTGCCAAATTCTACGAGAACTGGCTTCGGAAAACGCGCTATGCTTACCTGTGCGTTAGACCATTTCCCAAGCCTTAAATTCCTTTTGATTAGTGCGTGGACCGGGATTCCCACCTGTCTAAGTAGGGAGGAGACACGGTTTCTCAGATCCCTTTCTCTCAGTCTGACACTGCTGCAGAGCAGCTCTTCCATTCCTTTGATGAAAAAAGTTCGCTGCCTGCCGATTGCAATGCCCGTTTCGTGGCGGATAGACGATGAGACACGCATCGTTGACAGAGTTAAAAAGTCAAATACTGAAGTCCTGGTTTACGGCCTAACTGCGTGAGGCGTTACGGGAACGTAACGCTGCCTGGCACAGATACACAGTGCTAGAAACATTCACTAACTGGTGGCAGTGCACAAGGCTAAGAAACAAAGCAGTCAGTATATTGAGATCGGCTCGAAGCCAGTATGAAATAAAACTGGCAAGGGACATTAGAATACAGCCAAAAAAGTTCTATAGATACGTCCAATCGCAAGCTAGGCCCTGAAAGGCCATAGGTTCGTTTATGTGTTTAGGGACAATAACCCCAGACACGGACCAGGGTATTGCAGACGCATTTAAAGACCACCTTCAGACAATCTTTTGAGTAGAGACGATCGTAAACAACCTCACAAACGTGAATATTGCAGGCCCATGCAGCTCCAGCTGGATCATAGAGCACGACGAGGTCTTACCTGTGATCTCCGGACCCAACCCGACGAAATCCGCCGGCCCAAACAACCAGCACCCAGCGGTTTTAAAATCACTGGCACCGGTAATCACTGAACCCTTAACATCACTGTTCAATCAGTCGATGTCACTAGGCATAGAGCCGGCCGACTGGCGCCGAGCTGCAAGTGCCCCCATCCACAAGAAAGGGGATGCGGCCAATATATAAAACTATCAACCAATTAGCTTAACCAGCATCGTTTGCAAAGCGATTGAGCGGATAATAGGAAAAAAGCTACCAGAGCACCTAATATGCGTGCACTTCTTCTCGAAAACACAGCACGGATTTCTCAAGGGTTGATCCTGTCTGACCAACCTCTTAGTATTTCTAGACGAAGTAACCAGCAGGTTAGACAAAGGAGAAACAGTCGAAGTCTGCTTCCTAGACTTCCAAAAGGCGATCGACTCCGTTAAACATGTGCTGTTACTGCATAAATTAAGGGGTACATAGGCTCCAACTCGGGTATGTAACTGGATGGCCAGTCTACTTCACGATCGCATATACCAGGTGAAAATACGATCCACGAACTTAAGTGAAGGGAAAGCGACCAGTGTTGTCTCCCAGGGGTCAATAATATGACCACTCCTCTTCTTATTATTTATCAACGACCTGGCTGAGGAGATCGCAAGTTCATGCCTCATCTACGCCAACGACGTTAAAATAGTTGGCGACTCGTCCAGTTGTCAACCAGTACAAGACGACTTAGACTCTCAGCGTGCATGGTAAGATGGGACCTGTCGCTGAACGCAACCAAGTGTTGTGTTCTAAGCAAAAATGCTCCGGAACCCCCCCGCGGCCTACGCTCCCAAATCAAGTAGCTCATACTCTGAAACAAGAGAGATTTGTCAGGGATCTTGGGGTTACAGTCTCAGCCAGCTTTACACCTAGCAAACAATGCGCCGAAGCAGCCTACAAGGCCAGGTGAGCGCTCTTTGCACTCAGAGTTGCAATAACCAGCAGAGAAGCCGATGTATTCGTCCCTCTGTATGGGGCACTCATCAGACCCCACCGAGAATACTGCGTCCAAGCTTGGGCTCCCTACCGAGT